AGAATTTGGGGACGTAGGGATTTGGGGATGTAAGAATTTCGGGACGTAGGAATTTGGGGACGTAGGGATTCGGGGATGTAGGGATTTGGGGACGTAGGAATTCGGGGACGTAGGGATTTGGGGACGTGGGAATTTGGGGACGTGGGGATTTGGGGACGTAATTTGGGGACATAGGAATTTGGGGACGTAGGGATTTGGGGACGTTGGAATTTGGGGACGTTGGAATCTGGGGACGTTGGAATTTGGGGACGTGGGAATTTGGGGACGTGGGAATTTGGGGATATGGAACCTTGGAAATATAGAATCTTAAGAGTACAGAAATTCGTAACACAGAGACTCAAATATTCTGAGTCTTCAGAAACATAGTGATTAGCTACATAACTCTACAACACCATACTCACCCCAAACTACCGAAACCCATAAAATTCATAAATCTGCAAACTTGTAAATTACAAAATTCCCCCAAAAATTCAAAAATTTGCGCTCTCAGAAATAAAACTTACATATTTGATCAAAAGCCTCGATAGTTCCTCCGGCGTATCTCTATCGGAAGTGCACGTGGTACCGGAAGGTGTCGTCGCGTGCCCGCCATAGTCACGTTTCCTCGTGTACTCGCAATTCTCGTAGATCGTTTCTTAGCCGGCAAACGAATGATTGAAAAGCAAAAGTGTCGGTGGTGGGGTTTGCGAGATAGTCGATGCCTCGTGGTCCGGTTGCCTGTCAGTGTCGGCCGTTCTCCTCGTCCGTTATGACGTTTCCGGTCTGCTTCTCGTTTCCATAATTCCACATCGATCGTCGGACAGTGATCGATCGTTTCTTGGAGACACTCGTTAAACTTCTACATAGTTTCTGTTATAGATCGTAAAATATCGATTGGACTACAGAAAATTTCAACGGGTATACCGAGGACTTTAGCTAGTAAAATTAAAAGTGTCTGATTTCGTTTGTTCTTACGGTGTTACGTTTATTCTTACGCAAAATATTTTCGAGCAAAGGTGTGTAAATTTGATTGTATCCGATATTTAGCTCGTCATTAAGGATTTTTTTAATTAGTCGTGTGATGTAAACACCGTGCTTGGAAATCGCTCGCCGAGAGATTCGAATCGATAACTCACCACGTGGTTCCTCGCTGTAAGTAATCTGTATTTTTTTAATTAGTGGCTATAGCGATAATAACGCGATTAAACTTCTCGTGACTTCAATTTCGTTCGTCGGAAAGATACATCGTTAATCGACCATTTTTCATATTTTTCTACGTCATTGTTTACTGTATGCACATTTTGTATGTAGTATAATTCCGGTTTGTTCGAAGAGAAACCATGCGGACAAATTTAACCGTCGGTTACGATTGATTACAAGGATGACAATGTATGTTATTCAATTCTGGTCGAGTCACTGTTGTAACACCGACGAAAGATTATTGCGTCTGAAAACTTCGATAACCAATATTTCGTTTATGGAAATTATTCGTTTATTTTCTGAAAGTTTTCACAGATTGACGAAATTTTTCTTTCGTCGGATTACAATGGTCGACAAACAGTCGTGGAGAAATATTTTTCTAGCTGAATATACGGTAATTAATTTTACATTTAACGATGTTCGAGTTATTCGACGTAACGCGTTTTTAATCTGATACTCCGAATCGGTCGCAATCTTTTCATTTTTTAATTATTACACACTCATACGTGTTCGAAAGCTTCAGCATATTATTTTGGATTCACTTATCGAAATAATTACATATCGAATTCATCAACGATAATATTATCGTTCGGTAAGATAATATTTCATCTATCGCAGAATAAATCGTTTACGTGGAAATTAGAGGACGTAAAATTAAAATTGGAATTTTAAATAAAAAGGCAATATTTTAACGTAGTAGACCTTTTTGTTCAAGCATTTTTCCTTAATTCGCTTTTTAAATATACTTGATAAAAGAATGGAGGTGAGTAACTGTATAATTATATAAATAATTACTTTCGAACGACTATTAATTATACCTTTTTAAATGACTATATAAATATTTATATATTTTCGTATGACTATTCATATTTTTTTCTAATAACTATTTGTATAGCTATATATTTTCCAGATAACCATATGAGTAATCATATGTGTATTTTTCAAACAATATTTTCATATGTGTATTTTTCAACTTTCAAGCATATGTGTATTTTTTTATAGGAAGAATTAAATATTTTTTAAAGAGCTACATCAATAATTATATTTTTTTCAAACAACTGTATGAATGGTTATGTATTTTTGAGATAACCACATGAATAATCATGTGTGTATTTTCATATGTGCAATTCTATTCCTACATATGTATATTTTTGAACCTTCAAACATATGTGTACCTTTCAAACAGTATTTTCATACGTGTATTTATAACCCTTCATACATATGTGTATTTTTCAAAAAGTATTTTCATATGTGTGTTTCTAAACTTTCATACATATATGTATTTTTCAAAAAGTATTTTCATATGTGCATTTCTAAACCTTCAAACATATGTGTATTTTTCAAAAAGTATTTTCGTATGTACATTTCTAAACCTTCATACATATGTGTATTTTTCAAAAAGTGTTTTCATATGTGCATTTCTAAACCTTCAAACATATGTGCATTTTTCAAAAAGTATTTTCATATGTGCATTTCTAAACCTTCATACATATGTGAATTTTTCAAAAAGTATTTTCAAACAACTACATCAATAATTACATATTTCTCAAACAACAATACTTAAATATTTTTGAAATAAATATACAAGCACATATTTTTGTTGAAGCACACAAATGCAGGAGGCGCCACGCCCCCACAAAGTGTAAATTGTGACACGTTACGGGGAATTACAAACCGCATTCGATTATGTAATATAAATTCAAATCAAAGGAAAACAGCAAGCTAGATAACAGAAATGTGTCATTAGAGCACGTGCCGTTAGCCACTGTTCCGTACAGGATAAGTCATATGCGCTAACTTGCGTACTTCCGGTCGTAAATTTGCATCGTGTCATTTCGATACGTACGTCATGTATTATCGTAATTAATGAGTTCGGTAAGAAAGGAAAAATAATGTGTACTGTGTAGAGTGCGATACCCGACTCTTGGAAGGCAAATATTCTGTTGTGGTCATATTTCACGATATTTGTATTTCGGACGTCGTTGGAGATATAATTGAAAGAAAATATAGCAAGTTTTAGCTGCAAATATTACGTCAGTGTGCTTAAATATAGCAGATACACTGTTTTAAAAATAGAATAATTAACTGAACTAATAATTTCTTTCTGTCCTCCATTTTTATTTATTTTATTCTTCAATCTGTTGTAATACAAGTATGTTAAACATACAGTGTAACAGAAGAAGGTTCACAATCCTTGAAGCCATTATTACAGATTACCAAAGTATCCTAATTAACATTGCAATTTTGGAATTATGAAATGTCGAAACTTTGGGAAGTACAGGATAGAAGGATAATAGAAGAAGGTTCACAATCTTTGAAGTCATCATTAAAAATGACCAAAATATCCCAATTACCATTGCAATTTTAAAATTATAAAATGTCGCAACTTATGGAAGTACAGATTACAAAAAATTTGTAATGAAAGTTTGAAAGTGCCGCCCTCTGTCCGTGCGATTGTCATAACAGTATTTGCAGACATCGGGATGAATCACTTGCTGAAATCGATCTCAGTCTGTAAAAATGCAACGCATCCTGTATGATAATTAGTTTTATCGTCAACTCGCAAGTGGCGTTAAAAAGAGAACGAGTCTCTACATTTACAAGTGCACATGTGTAAAGTCAGTATAAAATAAATTCGAAAATGTTTTGTGCAAGAATTGAGCTTGACGCTATCTATGTTAATGCAAGATAAATGTAAATCTTGTTCTAAACCGGTTGAAGTTTAACATACTCATCGGTCAGAATCGCCATACGATTCTTTTACCTTCGCTACAAAATTTCAAGTGTTTTATCTACAGAATAAAATCACGTATAATGTAACAATATCTGATATCAAAGTACACAGGTCTAACAAATGTACTAATTTGTAAGTGGTAAATGTCGAATTATCGAAGCTTCGTATAAAAATGAAAAAAGATTTCTATGGATAAGACCATTGCACGGTTACTATTTACACGGTTCTCAAGGATCGAATTACAAATTAATGAAATCGAGTATCGTTATCGCGAAAATACTTCCTGGTTAATAACGACTCATTTTTCAATTAACCGCACCAGGCGTAATGAACGTCAATTAAAATTCTTGATATACAATATGTTGTCCGATCACGTTATACAATTGTCCAGCAATTTGACGAAACGCGACACAATTCCTGGATGGTCATTTCCTTGGAGGAACGCGAGGTCTCGTTCATAGAATAATTTCTTTGTCTTTTTGCCGCGAACCGGCGACCTTTCGAATTGATGAATTTTCAAACGACGTCGGTCGGATACCATCGTATATGAGCTGCGTGTTGGAATTTCATCGCGCCCTATTCAACTCTGAGCGTTTCTTCGATCGATCTAATGAGAGAACGCGTGCGAAACTCGAGCGCGTTTCGTGAAAGGAAATACAGGGTCATGGCAGAAAAATGGCAAGGAAACGTTTATCGATATACGTCTCTTCAATTGCGTGCGACTCGGTTTCCTTTTTTAGCTGCTGTGAAATCGATGAAATCGATAGTCGTTATGTTACGTTGGGAATTAAGTCGCTTGATATTAGAATAGGTGTAAATGAGGAGGTGTGAGAATTGCATAAGGATATGACATAAGGGTGTCATAGTTTAACCCCTTAACTTGTGATTTCTCAGCGAGTGCGTCAGACAGGGCGACTTAATTATTGCTGTAACATTAAGACAGACAGAGAATGTTCAAATGTTAGGGACATTTCCTATATGGCGATTATTGGTGGAGGGGTAGAAATTGAAATTAAACGCGAAATTGAATCGTGGTGAAAATGTGAGCCAGATTCGTCGCATTTCAAGAATTACGTGCGGAAGACGATATTGTAAGACAAAGGGTTAAGGATCTGAGGACATTGTAGCAGTGTAGAGATGTAGAGATTGAAATAAGAAGATGTCTAAGAATATAGGAATTTAAGAATGTAGGGATGTTATCGTGAAAGACCGAAATCTGGTGAATGTCGACATTCACATAGTCGCTTGGTGTATGTCCGAAATATTTGCTAAATACCCTTATTTCTGACTTACACCGGTAAATGTCGACATTCACCATGCACTAATGGTGAATGTTGAACATGTCGGAGATTTATATTTTCTTCTCCGTAATTCAGTCGCTATAAAACGTCACAAGGGTGACGTAACTTTTTCGCCTCTCTTTCTGAGAGGAGAGACCAAGAATTTAAAACACATAGTACATTCTAAGCATACGTGTTCTTCCTCCGTGGCCTATTCTGGCGTGAGTTTCATATAGTATACTGAACAATTTTTCATTGGTAACATAATACTGTATATTCGTTTCCCCTGATTTTAATGGTACAATTAATTTCCTTTCACCATTAATTTTTAAAACGTCAAAACGTTTTAATCGTCTGTAATCCAAAGGTGTGTTGCACTTAGTTTTAGCAGAAACCACTTCAGAAAGTATTTTAGAGTACTTTTCTTGAGAAAAATAAAAACAATTGTCTTCTCGTTTACCCGCAATTAATGCATTTAACTTTTCAAGGAAAAGATCACGATTTACTGCAGTATCCATTCAGTATAAATTACGGTATTGGAAAAAAAATTAAGAAAACGTTGCTCGCATTATCAAAGCTTGCATAAGATTGACAAAGCTGACTGACTCCCAGCAGAACACAGGATTTGGCGGGAGAGAGCCAGTCGCTTCTTTGTCGGCTCCTCTCTTTTGGACCTCCACCAGAGCATATCTGTGATTGTCGACATACACCGGTGAAGGTCCGAATGTACAAGAATGTAATAAAATATTCGGTCTTTCACCGGCGTATTTGGTATATGTCGACATTCTCCAATTTCGGTCTGTCACGGTAACATAGACATGGAGTCTGTGGACATAGGAGTCTACGGGTCTAGAAATCTAAGAACGTAGGTGTCTAGAGATATAGGGATCCACATACGTAGGTGTCTAGGAGTCTAGAGATCTAAGGACGTAGGTGTCTAGAGACGTAAGGATCCACATACGTAGGTATCTAGAAGTCTACAAATCTAAGAACGTAGGTATCTACAGATATAGGGATCCACATACGTAGGAGTCTAGGGGTCTAGATATCTGAGGACGTAGGTGTCTACAGATATAGAAATCTAAGGACCTAGAGATCTAAGAACTAACTCCAGGAGTTTATAGACCTAAAAATGTAGAAACCTATGAATATTGAAATTTAGTAATACAAGGATTCTTGTTCATAGGATGTGAAGAGTTAGATATCTCTAATATAGGAACACAGAAATCTAGGAGCTAGCGAGATCCAAAAATCTTGATGTCTATGAACCTACAAATGTGATTACAAATATAAATATAATAGTCCATTAATATAAAAGTATACGAAGCTACCAAAGCTAGATAATACTTTATATTTTTATGTGACAAGTCTTCTGACACTCCGAATACAATGATATTAAAGCAATACGATGACACGAAGCATTCATCGCTCTCGACAAACGATGAAGATGCGAGAAGTTAATTAGGGTCACTAACTGTGATCGCGCGTTATATCGTGCATGACGGACAACTAGCAACGTACGTGTGGTTTTAATTGGTTAGCGGGAACGAAACAAAGGTCTCGAGGAAGTTACATAAAAATCCGTCGAGTGTTGCGTGAAATTGCGCCACCGACATTGCGATCAATTTTCGAACACAAAGTATATCGTGGTAGATTTTTTTCAATTAGAGATTGTAGCTTTGCGAGTCACTCGAGTGAGATACACTCGGTTAATAAAACGATGTGCATTCATAGAATGAAGGTAATAAATTGTCGCGTAATGATTTGCATTCGTTTCTGTTATCTCGATGATTTATGAACGTACGGTTTTTATGTTACGTTTGGTCACTCGATATCGCGGGATCTGGCACACGCTTTCCAAAATTTTTCATACGGTTCATAAGTGGCCAGTTTTTTAAATTAAAATCTTGCTAAAAATTTATGTTTTACTATTGTTGAATTATGGTTGTTTCAGAATCTCAGGTGATCTTCCTTCTTCCTTTTCGCCGGAACAGCCAATCGGAAAAAAGATGCAGAATTCACAGAGGTAAGAGAATCCATTCTTTGTTGTTTTTAAATATTTATGAGATCACTGCAACCATAACTGTAATTCATTAATATATGAACATTACAGCAAATGCTACTGAAAGAGAAACTGAATCTAATGCTTACCTTGCATGCTTTACACTCGATTTCATGAAGCATTTATGGGACTGTATTAACCCCTTGCTTTATAATTTGCTTATAAAAAAAACTCTACCTTCTCGCTTATAAGAAAATCGATAAATGTAATTTTCATTTCTATAATTTTCTAAGTTAAATGAAATGTAAAGTGTGCATAGTCTTGCAACTGACTTACCTAATCGTACGGTAAGGGGTTAACCCTCAGACAACGAAGGCGACAATTTCAATTTAATTTGGCAGATAAGCCGATTTGTTTGAACGATAAACACGTCTCGAGTGGTTTCATTAATCATCGCGCTTTTCTTTGCACTTCATAACTGATTCTTTGGTTTATATAAAAATATCAATTGTATCTCTTACGCAGATACGAAGAACATACCATATATAAGACACGATCACCCTGCAGCCTGCGGAAACTCCGAGGTAATCAAATTGTACAAGATACAATAATACAACTTAGGAGTACACTGTAGAGTCCACTTTTATAGGCGAGTGCACGAGTTCTGTAAATATAAATTATATATTAGTTGGTCCGATAAGTAATAAAAATTTTGTTTGCCAAAAAACATTTATTTACTAAAGAAATATTAAATGCTGATCAACAAAATAATTTCCATCATTGTGTAACGCTTTTTGCCAGCGTGAAGGCAATTGTTCGATTGCCTTCTTAAAAAAAATTCCTTCGATTTGCTTTCTTAAAAAAATTCCTTCGATTTGTCTTCTTAAAAAAAGTTCCATCAATTTTTCATTGGAAAACTTTGAAGTCATTGAAGAAGTTTTGAATACTTTTCGATGGCCCTAACATGTATGTAAATATAAATAGAATTAAATAAAAATGGAATAAAGTGACAGTACTTTTGCACTCGTCTTACTGAAAGATCTGAAAAACCGTAAAAGGTAGCCATTTTGTAAGAAATCGTAGAAAGATGTCAAACCGATCAGCGTGCTCTCGTTTGCAGACATGGTGCCAGCCAGGGTGGTGCTGTACATGCTATCATTCTCGGGGTTCACGGTGTCCTTCATGATGAGGAACGACATCAACATCGCCATGGTGGCGATGGTGAAACCACCGTCGTCGACATCGGACACCAACGTCCCGATGACGTCTCATCATTGTTACGTAACGCCGAATGTATCGCTCGTCAACAACAGCACGCCGATCAGACTTGAGGTAAACCTGTTACGAATGCAAAGAATAGTGTCCAGATAAAATTGTCGAAACTCGAGGTGCAGACTTCCTCCATCGTTCTCGGAAACTTATTACGTGTTTATGGGATGTTACTCGATGTTAATGTATCGATTTATGAGGGTCCTAATTATAGGAGTAATATTTATAGCTTGAGAAATTATCTGTTGGTATTAATATTGAGGGGTGGAAGTGAATTGGGGTGATGTGGTAGACTTGAGGGGAGTGGTTCTTTTGAGAGGAGTGGTCAGGTTTTTGGACGTGGTATATTGAGATGATGATTGGGTTAATGTGGTGGTTAAGGTGCAATGCAAGGCATAGGTGTTGGCATGTGTGGTGATACGACGCGTAGATATTGCAATATGTAGCAATACAACGCGTAGGTATTGGCATGTGTAGTGATACAACGCGTGAGTATAGTCATATGTAGCAATTCAACGCGTTGGTATTACCATATGTGGTGATACAACGCGTAGATATTGCAATATGTAGCGATACCACGCGTTGGTATTGTCATGTGTGGCGATACAACGCGTAGGTATTACCATATGTGGTGATACAACGCATAGATGTTGCCATGTGTGGCGATACGACGCATAGGTGTTGCCATGTGTGGCGATACGACGCATAGGTGTTGCCATGTGTAGTGATACAACGCGTAGGTATTGCCATGTGTAGTGATACAACGCGTAGGTATAGTCATATGTAGCAATTCGACGCGTAGGTATTACCATATGTGGTGATACAACGCATAGATGTTGCCATGTGTGGCGATACGACGCATAGGTGTTGCCATGTGTGGCGATACGACGCATAGGTGTTGCCATGTGTAGTGATACAACGCGTAGGTATAGTCATATGTAGCAATTCGACGCGTAGGTATTACTACAACGCGTTGGTATTGTCATATGTGGCGATACAACGCATAGATATTGCCATGTGTGCCGATACGACGCATAGGTGTTGCCATGTGTGGCGATACAACGCATAGGTATAGTCATATGTAGCAATTCGACGCGTAGGTATTACCATATGTGGTGATACAACGCATAGATGTTGCCATGTGTGGCGATACGACGCATAGGTGTTGCCATGTGTGGCGATACAACGCATAGGTGTTGCCATGGGTGGTGATACGACGCATAGATATTGCAATATGTAGCGATACCACGCGTTGGTATTGTCATGTGTGGCGATACAACGCGTAGGTATTACCATATGTGGCGATACAACGCGTAGATATTGTCATGTGTGGCGATACGACGCATAGATGTTGCCATGTGTGGCGATACAACGCATAGGTGTTGCCATGTGTGGCGATACGACGCATAGGTGTTGCCATGTGTAGTGATACAACGCGTAGGTATTGCCATGTGTAGTGATACAACGCGTAGGTATAGTCACATGTAGCAATTCGACGCGTAGGTACTACCATATGTGGTGATACAACGCGTAGATATTGCAATATGTAGCGATACAACGCGTTGGTATTGCAATGTGTGGCGATACAATGCGTAGATATTGCCATGTGTGACGATACAACGCATATATGTTGCCATGTGTGGCGATACGACGCATAGGTGTTGCCACATGTGGCTTTACAACGCATAGGTACCGCCATATATAGCAATACAACACATAAACATTACAACGCATGGTAATACAACGCTTAGCAACTGCAGTCCATAACTATTACAACGCGTAGATATTACTATGCATGGTGATACACCGCGTAGATACTGTAACGTGTAGAAATACAACACGTGGGTATTACAAATAACGATACCATGCGCAGGTACTACCACGTGTAGCAATACGTGTAGACGTTACAATGGCTGATAATAGAACAGGTAGATGTGTATCTACATATGATGATACAACATTTAGTAACTATGATACATAGCTATTACAACGTGTAGACATTATACGTGATGATATAACGAGAAGTGCTATTAGAACATTATTAATGTAATGTTACAACCCATGATTACAAAATATAGTATTAAAACGAGTGAGAATCTAATTATCATGATATTATTTCTACTCTTTGCTCTTCGTTAAGAGGTACTCCAATCTATTAACAGACTAATCCTTCGAATGTATATTTGCCACTTTAAGCTTTCTTAAAAATTGAATAAACTTTCGAACTTATTTATGTGTTCAATAATTGTCACTATTATCTGTTTCACTATGTTTGTGCATTTCATACGTAACACTATAATAGATCTGGTTAAAAGATACTTATTTCAAATTGTGTTAATGAGTGAGTCACCTCTATAGTTAATTAGCAAAATACCTTTGTCCAGGAAAATAAAACTGCAAATTCTGAAGGTAGTCATTTTCGAAATTATCCGTATTTTTCCGAGAAATCGATCGCGATTGCGTTACACAGGTCGCATCGATTACGTCCGTTCGTAATCGACAGGCAAGAATCTCGTGCACGTAATCGCTCTCGGATGCAAACCAAGCATATTGGAAAAGGAATTTAATAATTACCGGCTTTTGCGTTGGCTAGTTACCTTCCGCTTGAATTGACAGATCGATTAAGACAACGATCACGTTACGATTATCGAACGCCGCGACGTTAATGCATGCACGGCGTTATACAACTAGTTTGTTTAAGTACAATTATCGATCCTTCCATACGGGAACGTCAACGCGTTTCAATTCTTCTACAAAAATTACGATCACGTTTCGGACAGGATAATTCCTGTATTTTGCACGTTTCGTAAGAGAACGTGAGAACTAACGTCACAATCCTCTCTTAATGTTTTTATACTCTTGATAGTATTTTTTACTACGCAGGAACTTTGAACAGATTTTATCTGTAACAGGAAGTGTAGCTGCAAACTATTTTCGAACGATGAATTTTTATTTGTACTCGTTCAAAGGTGCAATTTTTCTGTGAAGAAAAATTTTGTTAACTCGGAATTTTAGGAGTCTTCATAAGTCCTTCATTTGTCGTAACTGATAAAAGTTAGGGAAGGACCATCTTGAAAGCCTAAAGAATAGAAAATGGCACATGTTTGGTTTTTATGCAGGACCAAGGAGAGTTCGACTGGAGTCCCACCATACAGTCCGCCATTAGCGGTTCGTTCTACTGGTGTTATATATTATCGCAAGTGGTGGGTGGTGTACTGACGCAATATTTCGGCACGAAGACGGTATTCGGTGGTTCGCAGTTAATCACGGCAGTCTGCAGCTTGCTGATGCCTTCGGCAGCGGGAATCCATTACGGGGTCATGATTGCCCTCCGCAGTATTCAGGGCATCGCCAGTGTAAGTTTAATCAGCGAATTAAAGTCAAATTTTAAAATTGACAGCGCGAAACCGGTTCAGAAACGGGAGGTGGCAAATTGAATTGGAAATTGTAATTATATAACTGAAAATATACGAGTAAACTGATGTAAATAAAACACTATGTGTTCAGGGACTCACGTGGCCGGCAATGTACGCCATCGTCGGGCACTGGATACCACCCGTGGAACGTTCGCGTTTCATGTCTTCCTTTCAAGGTGAGTCGACGTTGACCCTGGACATTTTCTTCTTTTCTTCCTTTACGCAACAGTCAAATCTCGTGTCGCGTGGTTTTTCAACGAAGGACGACTACTAAACTTATTCTTTCAGAACACGAGGAAAGCTTTGCTCTTTGCTTTCAGTCTAAATTCCCGGGCTTGGAAAGCTCGTCTTTTTTTTTTTATTCATTCAATTTTGATTGTTCGAAGATACCCACGTGCTAGCATTCGCCGGACCGAGGGGTATACTCAACAAGCAACCGCTCAACAGCATGAGAAAGGCCGAGTATACTTCCAGCTGGTTGAATCGAGCCGAGATCGACGTCAGAACACACTTTTCTATAGTAGACATCGGCTGTTTTGAGGTCTACGTTCAAACCTCTACTGCGAAAGAGCTCGCTTCTATTTGTCACGTTACGCGATTTATCTGTGAACATGGCCACATTATTCGGATCATTTTCAAATTTATATAATTCAATTGTCTACAATGACTCACTGTATTGTTACGATAAACAACCACGTTCATTTCACGATATACTCGATACAACATACAGGGTGAGGCACAGTCGACAATCTCAATTACTTGGTACAGCTAGGAGTGCATCAGGTCAACATTTGCATTATAAATTATTTCGTGGAGCTGGCGCAATGAAAATTTACTTTGAGTTACCACTTAAATTTACTTTGAGGCCCTGCTGCATTTTTTCTATCAGCCAAGTTGTTCAAACGTTTTCAAGTGTCTCACCCTGTATCCACAATACAGCGTGTGATTTAACATTCAGTCACCACAGTCAGCGAGAATAAGTGCAAAAGTCATAATGAGAGTCATCTGCATCAGTCTTTCACCGTAATCTTACTTAAACTTGTTAAACGTGATAAGATCCGAGTAACGTTTCATACGCGATCCATTTCATTTCTTCAGCGTGGGCTTATCCTTGGCGCGTGTAGTATACCCTCCGTTTCTTTGCTGATCAAAGCTAAACACGCGTGGAATCTCTCCATTTCGCTGATGCTACGCATTGCGACCGTATCTTGTTTCGGGTGTTTTTACGTTGGCAGAGGGACGGAGGTTCGCCGCAAAACACCGGTTGTCAAGGTCGAATTTGAAATCAGCTGAACCTTCTGATAATGAAAATAAAATCGATTCAAATTCTGCCTTGGTATTTCTAGGTGTAACTTTTTTTAGAGAGAAAAGTTTGATTGTTCGACTGTAGCAGCCTCGCCACGTGTTCATCCTCATCCCCCCGTACTAAGTCTGTACTTGAATCGCTTTACAGGGTGAAATATACGCCACCGCTGAAGAGCGATCGTCGCCACGCATGAATCGTACACGAGCCAAGGCGAAGCCCCATTCGAGCAAGCATCATGTTTCAGCTTCGTTCCGGGTCGTGGGGTGAGCCACTCCTAACGTCTAGATTATCTATATTCAGGGTTCAGCTTTGGCATCGGGATAACCTATCCATTGTGCGGATTCATCATCGCCCATTTTGGATGGAGAGCGGTCTTCTATACGACCGGCAGCATCGGTATGCTCTGGTGTCTTTTCTGGTATTTCTTCGCCTTTGACACACCAGCCTCGCATCCCAGAATATCCCAACAGGAGCTGCGTTACATTCAAGGAAGCGTTGGAAATCAAGTTCATGGAACCAACGAGGTATCCAATAATGATGCAAATTTTACGCGACCCACATTCGATAGATTGCAAATTAGAATTCGAGTCCAATTTAAAGTCGACGCGGTTTAAACTTGCTTCAATTCAAACTCGATTCCAACATGATCATGATACGACCCAGAACCCAGCATCGTAGCAACAAAGTTACCATATCTAACAAATAACGAAAAATAATTTTATGTCTGAAGAGTATGCCAGTTCCATGGGGTTCCATTCTCAGATCATGGCCAGCGTGGTCAATAGGGATCACCACGTTCGGAAGAATATGGGTTCACTACATTTTCATCATTTCCGGACCAATGTACATGAAGACGGTTCTAGGATTCAGTATACAGGCGGTACGTAACTGGAAAATCTACTCGAGACAAGTGGATTTACTTCTGAAGAATTTATGTGTTGTCGTCCTTTCAGAACGGAGTTTTGTCTGGATTACCATTTATCTGCAGTTACTTCAGCTCCGTCGCATTCTGCTATGTAGCCGATGTCCTAGTAACGAGACAGATTTTGTCACTGACAAACGTCCGCAAGGTGTTCACCGCTCTTTGTAAGTATAACTTCAATAAAACTTGTAAAGTTCTATTTTGTAAGGACAATCTTTATACTTCGTCATATTTTTATCTTATTGGACACTGATGCGATTTAAAATACAGAAAAAATGTTAGGGTTAGAAAGTTAGAAGGGTTTAGTTTTAGATATTACTACTGTGAGAATGAGAGAATGACGCTGTCAGTGACCGACTGACCGAATGTCGGTAATTGATCATCGATAATAAATGTTAATCGTCGGTAATAATATTGTAAATTGTTATAAGTTATCGACAGTTCAAGACGTTATAAAGCGAGCGGGCTTGATGTGTGTTTTTTTAAAAAGAATGGAGCGTTGTTTATTAGAAACCTTGTCGTAAAGAAGACGCATTAGAAAAATAGGCGAAAAAGTCGTGAAAGTTCGGTGTTTATTGAAAGGTTGTAAAAGTCGTTTTATTTTAAAAGTTCTGTGTTTTTGCTAAACAGTGTTAAAGTCAAGTTTTGTTTTGTTAACGTTTGTGTTAAAGTTTTTTCCTTGTTAAATAATAAAAAGAGTTTTCTTTTGCACAAAACCAAATCAAAACGGTGCAAAACCATTCTTTGTCATTTTAATTCCTACACTACTTATTCGGTGATATATAATCGGTTTAACGTTCTTGTTTGCAGCACAAGTAGTTCCTGGAATAATGTTAGTACTGATTGGCTATCTGGGATGCGACATCGTCCTCGTGTTGGTGGTATGGTTCATAGCCGTCACCCTTATCACAGCCGCGTATGCAGGGGCGATGGCAAACATCGTTGATATCGCGCCAAATTTTGCTGGTAAGTGGTTTGGTTCAATGTTGATCTTGTCGAGTGATTCTTCCTAAACTCACCACACGATTTGTTTGATCTTCCAGGTCCGATATTAGCATTTGCACAAACAATTCACATGTCCGCCAGTTTCCTATCTCCGGTGGTAGCTGGTCTACTCACTCAGAAGAGTGTAAGTAAAATTCGCTTGTCACTGTTTGTTGAATCTACGATTCTGTTTGGTAAATCACCGTTCGTGGTATACTTCTTAATTCCTAGAGTTTGAGGTTTTTAGTTTGTTCTTCTGTGACTGAGTATTTACTATAATTCTCCTGGTTAAGTCCACTTCTAACGTAAATGATTAACCACTATCTACTTAATTGTTTGCTTCAGATAAAAATAAATAAATTTGATTTTACAGCAAGCACTGGACGCTTGGAGGCAAGTATTTGGAGTAACTGCCTGCGTAGCATGCGCCACGTACGTGGTGTATCAGATTTGCGGGACGGGAGACATCCAAGCCTGGAACTATCCCGACCAAAAGTACCCGCAATCGGTTCAAGAAGATTCCCAGCCCTTGAACGAGTCTCCTCAGAAGAACGGGAAGATCGTCAAGTCGCGATCGAACGTGTCCGCAGAAGCGTAACACATTCGTTACTCGAAGAAATGAGAGTATACAGTGTACTCTTGTCATAGACGATTACAAATACTTCTCCTTTAATCTCGAAAAGAGACGAGCAACCTAATATATATATATTATATATACACACACGCGCGAGAAACGTCTATTTTTTTCGTAATATCTCTGTATGTATGTGCATAGAAGTCATAGTTCGTCCGTGGAAGAAGTGATAGCGGTCAGGGTAATGTATATTTGTAACGTTTATAGAATATTTTTATGAAAATGTCTCGATTAACGCGCAACGCTTCGATTAATTTGCTAGAAATCCGCGTAGAAGCGAGAGGCACAAATACTTATTCGCGTTCATTGACACGTTGACTGCTGCTGAGGTTATTGACACTTAGGTTATTGAGATTATTGAATGGGTTTCATTTTTTTTCGGAGAAGATTGTGAACTTTGTCTGTTTAACTAGTGAATGTGCATTTGCGGGCACCGATAACCGTTTGATAAAGCGTGAATCGAATTAGACAAATTGAGTTACGTCGAATTAAATCGTGCCGAATTTAATGCAGCAAATTGAATCACGTTTAATTGAATCGCGCCAAAATGTGTCGATGGATTCACCACTCTTGTATCCTATAACGCATCGTAAATGTCAATGCCCGTGTACGGGGCATTTAATCTGCCCAGTACTGTTCAATCATTAAAGCAGTTAACGTGTTAAAGATAGCTCATCGTTTCACAATCAGATGCGATCCTCTGCTCGCGTGTTTTCTCTGTGATCGAATTTTTCTTCCTTCTTTTTTATCCGGATCCTGATGGTTGACGAGTGCGTAACAGAGGAATGAACCTCGTAGAAGCACTAGGGCAACAGTTGCAAACTGAGAAAGACGTTTTTGTATCTTAATAAAATCTCCTAAAATTGGCAACCATAAATTACTACTATTTATCTTAATAAAATTTCACTTAGCTCATGTTTGAACACTGTTGTCTTCTACGTTCTTGCTTCTATAAGTTACTCTACCGACTTAATTGTAGTATTCATGTAACGTCACGATTCTTTTTCTCTCTATTAAGAAGTGTTTGTTGTACGTAATTTGTATTGAAGAAATCATGACACTCGTTTACAAGTTTGCCGGTGATAACTCCTTAAGCCCTGTTAGATACGCCGTGTTAAAAAAGAGTTTGTAAAAAGAAAGATTTCATACGAGCTGTACTTAGAGACCATATTTACACAGAAATATTGAATACTTTGTAGGTTAGAAACGATGTACAAAAATTATAAAAAGAGACAGAGGAATTATATACTACTACTGATCGATGCCTTGTATTAACTATAATTTTCTGTTCGTTTCTCGACGAAGACTTTTCTCGTACTTAAAAACGGTGTTCCATGAAAGAATTCGTTTCACCGGTTGTATCGTCGATAATTGAACCTATAAACTACTGGAACACGATTTCACTCTAAGCTGAAATTACGTCGAAATATTTGAATGCCAAATCCAGACGTGGACGTTGAATTCAGTCTCTTTCGAGATTTTAACCCACGTGCAATGATTCCATTCATTCAAGGAACACGAAGCTAAGAGAAATGATCGTTACAAAGTATTGTAATTTTAATTATTTTTATACTGGCACAGTTTATACGCGATAAATTGTAAGCCATTCAAGCCGTTTCTCTTTGTTAGTTGTAAGCATGTACTTTAAGTTACACGCGGATACTTAAGTAGCGAATGTAAGAACGCAAAATGAAATAAAAGAGATCGCATATCTGCAAGCAACACGAATTGTGCACAGAAAGGCGTTTTCTTTTTAACTTTTTTTAGAAGTTGTAATATACTCTTGTATTTTATGCAACCATTTGTTACTGGTGCAGTTTGAAACTCGATGTTGATTGCCACATTAAAAAATACCTAATATAATTTTCAGTGGACGTGGCAGTCAACATGTTGCCACTTAAATTTGCGATCTTTGCTTATTTCTTTTTACAAAATTATTTATGAACGAATAATTTCCACTGGAGTTCAACAAAATTTAAATAATGTCACAAATTTGGCTGCCATTTCATTCAAAAAATTTCACTAATCATTAAGAATGAATTTCCAAATGATGAATCAAATGTTGCTGTCGTAGATGAACACCTTGATAGCGACGTTCTTAAAAGTTTTTCACTTAAAACCACGTCACTTTGTAACAAGATTGTACACCATGGCAAGAACATGACCAGATAAAAAAACTGAGAAAAATTGCGTGTAATTTCATTAGAACAATGCGTTGTCTCTTATCCCGCTCGTAAAAGAAGAACGAAATGATGTAAACAAATGTTTCTACTCTGCGATTCGTCCACGTCATTTCTATGAAACTTGTCGTGTAACGTTAATATCGATGATGGGTTGCATCATATAGATCTCGAGATAACTGCAGCAGATATAATCTCCAAATATGAGGAACCCCGTGCGATTCGAAGCAAACACGCGTGTTTTCGGAAACAACGGAAGCGATAAGCGTTTTAAGACAAATATGCGCTCAATTAATACTCTGTTCCAGAATATTTTTAGAAATAGTTAGGTAACTTATTACCGAGCATTTGAACTACCTCTATTTTATTCGAGGAGTGTTGCTTTAATCAAAGTTGCTTTTACGAAGGTGCAATTTATTTCTGCTGAGTTTCTGAACAAAATTGCTGTACAAAGTGGATGTTAGTCGAAAAGATTTATGTAATAACCGGAAATATCGATGGTTTCATCGAGAAATTCTGGAGAAACGGCGTAGATTTATGACCTTCCTCTTTTTCCACATTCACAAAACGTAGTGGTCTGGTTGTTGAAAGTTTGTTTTTTCTACGAGTCTTACTTCCTCGGTTACGATGCTAAAATACCTGCGTATATTCGTAATGACAATTTTTGGAATCAAATTGTTTGTTAAACAGGTATCTAATTTGAGAATTTTTCGCGTGAAAATTTTAACCAAACCGAAGATCCAAGCGTATCTTCAGGGGAATACATTAACTACCCACGTGTTCGGTTGACTAATTAAAATAATTATCAAGAATTGAGATCGGTTGAAATTTCACACGGTACAAATCTTAATCGAACGATAATATTATCAAACAATAGAGCTGTATGATAAACATCAGTGGAAGACAATTCTGTTATCATCGATCCGTGAAAAGACGTCAACGGTACGAGCTTCATGAACGGTTTCTCGAAATTACCTGCGGAATTAACGCTTGTTTATTGCGATGTAGTACTTCATTGAGTGCTCTAACTGACGTCAGATGCCGCAAGTACGAAGATTAGATATCTACCGACCTAAATATCTCAATTCGTGTTGCTTGAACGATAAAGGTAACTTAAAGTATTAACGCGTCGAAGAAATAGAACTCGAAAATAAAACATGATGGTTCTAGGTCAGGAACGAAACGTTTTAAGCGATGCGATTTGATTCGAAGACTCGATCTCAACGTATAATTCGACGCAGAGAAATTCATAGATTTCAATACACAAGTATGGTTGCAGTTGATTTCCAAAATAAACTTCAAAGTAAATCGAAAGTATACTCGAGAAAAATGTAAACGCGAGAGAAAATAAAATGGAGCAAGAAATAGAACTCAGGGGAGGCGGTTTCTAAAATAGCCTCTATGTCAAGACCGATCAAAAATAGCGCGAACTCTGAACTTTCAAGAGCAAATGACCTCTCCGATATTAAAAAGGTATAAAAGAAAAAAAAGCGGTGCAGGATTTCGAGAACGAGGACAAAGAACTTCGAAGCGACAAATTTTCGATGAATTTCGCGGCCGATTTCCGCGCTGATAATCGTTGAAGCGACGTCTATCGAGATATCAAGGCGGACACGTATAAGATATAAGAAGAAGAGGGAACGGCAGTCAGTGTTGTGCTGGATCTAGTTCTTGATCGTGCGAGAATCGAATACATTTACTAGACAGAGATATTCGAGGAACAAGGCGAAATGCGGTGAGGCAAATATTTTGATTCGCGCGCGGCCATAAGCTATCTGCAACAACAAATAATTCCTTCGCGAATAACTGATCGGTTGTAAATCGAATTTCACGTGCAAGTCTTTATTTCAATTTTCAATTTCAATGGAGATCACTTTTTTATCTAATAAAAATGGGAATTATATTGGGAGATCAGATGTTCGTCAAAATTTACCCCTCTGACTTAGCTCTTTCTTCTGTAACATCTTTGTAACAATTTCTTATAATGTTTCTTACAGTAACATTTTAAACGATACATCTTTGTAACGATTTATTACAATTTTTGTTACGGTAACATTTTTTTAAAGGACACATCTTTGTAACAATTTCTTACAATATTTATTACAGTAACATTTTTTTAAAGGACACATCTTTGTAATAATTTCTTACAATTTTTGTTATAATAACATTTTTTTAAAGGGCACATCTTTGTAACAATTTCTTACAATATTTGTTACAGTAACATTTTTTTAAAGGACACATCTTTGTAACAATTTCTTACAATATTTATTACAGTAACATTTTTTTAAAGGACACATCTTTGTAACAGTTTCTTACAATATTTGTTACAGTAACATTTTTTTAAAGGACACATGTTTGTAACAATTTCTTACAATATTTATTACAATAACATTTTTTTAAAGGACACATCTTTGTAACAATTTCTTACAATTTTTATTAAAATAACATTTTTTTAAGACACATCTTTGTAACAGTTTCTTACAATATTTATTACAGTAACATTTTTTAAAAGGACACATCTTTGTAACAATTTCTTGCAATGTTTATTACAGTGACATTTTTCAAATGACGTCTTTGTAAAAATTTCTTGCAATGTTTGTAACAGTAACATTTTATCAAACGACATCTTTGCAACAATTTTTCAATGACTCTTAGCAGCAGCTTTTTAGTGACATATGATCTGTTTGGTTCTCTGAATAACACAATAATTATTCATTTAAAAAAATGTCATTTTGATTTTGTTTTTGCAGTATTTGGCTACTTTTCACTCTCTTCCTGCTCATCGCGGTGTTAGCGTCCGAGACGTTCGCGAAGAAGCCTGGCAAGGATGTGGAGTCAAGAGGCAACCACGAGAAAAAGAAGAGGGACGTAGCATACTCGAAGTAGGTTTTCGATGCAGCAGAGGAATTTGCACGGACGACAATTACGCAATTGTTTTCCACTTTCCTTATCTTCGTTATGGACTTTGCTTTTGTATCGATTCTCCGATACGCGATGAACTACTTGCGAGATCAGAACTAGTATCAGAATATTTAACACAGATTGCAATTGTTGCTATGTTGATAAGATTGCAATTGTCGTTAAGATAGAATTTTTTAAACTCTCACTGTTTCAAGTTTTTGAAGCTTGGTGTTTAAACTTTGATATTTTGTTTCAGGGAAGAAAAATACAAGGGAAATGAGAAGAAGCTATCAAGGAAGAGGAAGAGCGCCCCCGAAGAAGAGACCGTTGAATCTGTCGCAGAAGAAGCGAAGGTCGAAGAATCGGGAAAGTACAAATCAAAAAATAAGAAGTTGAAAGATAAAGAGAACGTCGATCCCAAAAGCAAATCCCAAGAGGAGACACCGAAAGACAAGTCAAAGAAAAAGCAGTCCAAGTACTCGGTAAACACGCAGGACGTTCATCAGAAGAATTCCAAGAAGTCGAAGAAATCGAAGCTCGAAGAAAGGAACCTAGAGAGCGACAAATCGAAGCAGAAATCTGACAGCAAGAAAGCTGATAAAACTAACAAAGTAACGAAACAAGACAAGAAGAAGAAGCACGAGAAGAAGCAGGAAGCGGAGGAAGCGCCCGTCGAGGTAGAAGTCGAAGAACCGAAGAAGTTGTCGAAGAAGGAGAAGAAGGCCGAGAAGAATAGAAAGAAGCGTGAAACGCAACCGGAAGAAGAGGCGGTCGATGCTCAGGAAGAAGTCGAACCGGAATTGGAAGGCGAATCGGAAAATTCGAAGGCCAAGAGCTGTGCTACACCGGAAGAGGCTGAGGACGCTGAAGAGGAATCCCAGGAAGAGTGCAACGAAGCGTGAACGTAAAAGTTTGTGTTGCCATTCGCGTGTCACAAGTTCGATCGAACCTGGACGTTAAACTCGGTTGATATCTCTTGAGAGGAAGATAAAGTGTCGCGTGTTATTATTAAATCGCATTTATTTCATTTTTATCTACATTATATCGATATCGTTCGCAGCCTATTTACAAATATCGGGTGTACAGATGATAACGAATAGACAGGGTGCAAATATCGTTCACGAGATGTACATACACAAGAATAAATACGTCTTTTTGTAAATTATCAATGTCTTTGACTCAAAGAGGTACAGCCTTGAATGTCGCGGTCCAACCGGTTCCAACGTTGTTCATTGACGAGATGTACTTCACGATGACTCGTTCGGATGCTGCTTCGAAGGACGATGGCTGATCCTACGAACAAAAGAAAGTTTAGAAATGTATCTTCGTTTATATCGGTTTATTGAAATGTTTTCTTACCCCTCCGCAGTAGGAGCGCGCCATCATTTCGTCTCCGTCCGAATCGATGTCGTATATATCCAAGGTATTGTAGCCGAAACAATTGTTGTTCGCGCCTATGTCGAACACAGGGAACTCCAGTACCACTTTCATGCCACGTGGCACGCTAATGTCCCAGGTGCATACCGTGTTGTTGCGATACTCGTTCGGGTACAGGGGCGACGAGAACGACCCGGCATAATTATACAGTTTACCACCGCATCCACGACCTGCAAAGTTCAATCTTCCTTGTTTTCGATGCTCTTAAAAACAGATATTTTGTGATTGTGTTACTGTGAAAGACCGAAATTGGAGAATGTCGACATTCACCGGTGTAAGTCAGAAATAAGGGTATTTAGTAAATATTTCGGACATACACCAAGCGACTATGTGAATGTCGACATTCATCGGTGAATTCGCTGAAGATTCAGTCTTTCGGTCTTTCACGGTAACAATTACACCTAAATTGTTGAAGGTATACCTTCACTAGTAGACGTGAATGTGATATCGTAGAATTCATAGCTGGTGTGCCACTCGGTCCAAGAACGCAAGCTCAACTTGTTTCCAGTGCTGAAAATAGGACTCGGCGTTTCCAAAGAGCATAGTGATGCTATCAGCTTGCCGTTGAAGTCGCCGTCAAACACCTGAATAAAATGGTCATAAGAGTTTTTAACCCCTTGCACTTATTTGTCAAGTGCGTCAGTCAGAACTAATTACAGCTACAATATTAATACAGACAAAAAAATTTGAAATGTTATTATACAATCGTTGACTATGCAAATTATAATTGAACTTGAACTTCAAGTTGAAGCGTACAAATTCGAGTAAAATTCATCACGGCCGAAGTACGAGCACTCGTCAAAATAGTGCAAGGGGTTAAACTCTCTCTAGATTAGCATGTTCTAAACATCCCTCTTCCGCATTTGAAGAAGACTTGAAGAAGCTTACTTGCAAGGCGGATTGTGCGCATTCGTTCGGATCGTAGAGCCTAAACTTGTTGAAATACAAGGAAATTGTATGATTAGCCGGAGCCGTGATCGTGATCCAACAAGCAGTGATGCCCTCGTGAATTATTCGGCCCTGTTCGGCAGTGTAATTTCGATCGCAGGATGAACTACCGTATTCGAGTTTGAAGCCTCTGTGATGGGTGCTGTCTATTTGGAACTTCACCTCGAGTTCCGAGCTATAACTGTGTCGAAACAAATAATTAATGCATTGAACCTGATCGAAAATCCGAGGCGAACTTACCTGTAGTAATCGTGAGGCAGCGTGCTACCGCAATATTTATGGGAAGTGGTGGGCGAATGGGTATCCTGTAGAAAACGCGATTTTAAAATCTTAGCATTCTCAGTAAATAATAATATCAAAATTCATGTGTACGAGTAGTACCGAATGAAGTAATTAAAGTTAAGTTTTAATTACCTCGAAATAAGAAGGATGATCCTTACTGCCGAACCACACAAGATTCTCCCCGAAGCCCTCATCGATGTACTTTCGATTCTGCGTGAAAATCGCGAATAAGTAATTGAAGTTAAAAGTTATTTTTTATTTTCTCATCAGACAATTACCATGGAATCTGTAATCTGAAGGTAATCGTGGTCGCAGGAGCTCGACTCGGGCAGATCGAAATCGAGGAACCGTACTCTGATTCTATCGCTGTTCATTTTCTCGCTCCGTAACATCCATTTACATTTCGATCCCGGTGGAGGAGGATTCGGATAATTCGGGGAGGTCAGTATATAATTCGTGTCGTTTGTTAACACAGGAGTCAAAGCACACAGCGCTGAAACAATCAATTCGATTAGCAAGCGAGAATATAAACAACAATTGGTATCGATTTAAACGAATGGAAATAAATGTCCGCTCAATCGATTCACCATTGATGGTCTCCAATTTTCCGGTAATTCCAGCGCCTTCCAAGGTGCCATCGCTGTAAAACCGTATCCAAAGTTTGTTCGCAGTGGACATAATAGGGAGTGGAACTTGACTGCTGCAATATATGCCAATCAATTCGGAGAATGGTCCTTCGCCATCGCGAACCTAAATTACAATCGTTAGAGTTAGTCGCATTAATCATTCCAACTGTTGCAAGAATTGAATAGTTCCGAGATTTCGTTACTCTAAAGCTGACATACCTCGAGATAATCACCGCTGCATTTGTCCCCGGTGGAATTCGTAGCGTTTCTAACATCTATGCTGCTGATAGTGAATTTAATGCTCTTTCCATCCGGCGCTATTACTTTCCAGTGACAATCCTCCAGACTCTCGTAAGTCGAACCTTTTTGAGTTTTGAATTGAGTGGTAGAAGTCAAGCTTATATCTCCGCCGCAACCTGCTGCGGCACTCTTCACGAATAGCACCTACGATTTTTTAGAATCGACGATAAGTAGATTGAAAGTCGTTTCATTTTTTCATGTAATTAATATTACCTTTGCGCTGAAACCGTAGTTCTGGTCGTATTTGGAGGTTGTGCACTCGACAGCCATGGCATTGGTCGTGGACTTGATGACAGGCAAGTTATCCGACAGATCTCCGCACAATGTAACTAATTTATTTTCAGAATCCGTACTGTTACCGTTGTAAACTCTTACATTGTTCAACATGCATCTGTAACCATACAGTTAACACTCACGACTTATTTCACTACGCGAGTGTACACGTTTTCAAGATTCTAAACTTCAAAAGATTTGCCCTAAATATTTTAAAGTGGAAGTACCTGTAATTGTAGTCAAACACGAAGTGTTCAAATCGAAGCACGATATTCTTGTCCGGAGGTGCATAAATTTGCCACGTGCAGTCAATGCCTCCTATATACTCGTTGCCGTGCATTAAGGGTTTTATTTCCCCTGGTTGGGTAATCGTTCCGCCACAATCTTCGAGCAAGAAAATCAGCGATTAAATTTCCTAAGTCACAATTACCTCGATATGTTGCTTAAGGGGCGCGTCATTCTCATTTTTTCTGCGCACGCGTCTCCATTTAAGTAAATGGGAAAAAGATGCTCTCACGTAAGGTACCTTTTCTGGAGAACCAGAGCACCTACATGTACGCACGAGGTACCAAATTAAAGCTGAGGAGATGGCCGACAATCTGAGTGAAGTGACTTTTTTTTGTAGGCCTTCATTTTTTTTTGTAAACACTTCAAACCTAACAACTTACCTCAACGATCACACTTATGGCCAGTTTAAAAAAAATTGAAGGCCTACAAAAAAAATTCCACTTTACCCAGATTGTCGGTCATCTCCTTAGCTTTAATTTGGTACCTTGGGTGTACATTTAGGTGCTCTGGTTCTCCAGAAAAGGTACCTTATGCGAGACCATCTTTTTCCCATTTACTTCAATGGAGAGTGCGCAGAAAAAATGAGAATGACGCCCCCCTTAACCCCTTCCCGTTGATCTATCAGATGCGTCAGTCAGGACTAATCAGGGCTATAATTAAACCTCACAAAGAAAATTAAAATGTGTGCATTTTATATTCAGGGATCCTTGATAATGCAACATATAGCTGCACCTAAATTTCAAGCTGAAGAGTATTCAAAATTTGAGCAAGGTTTGTCATATTTGAGTAGTAAGTGCGTCACGAGTCAAAGTACAGGAAGAGGTTAAGTAACGCAGAGCCCTCAGCGCAGGAAAATATCGAGATCTTATAGGACCAATCTGAAAATGTACCACTAAGGAAGTAGTTGAAGGAGAACCCGCTCCGTTGCACATATTTGTCAGTCTTAAAAATGATCTCAATCCTATTGCGGTATTTAACCGCAGGTGGCATATCCTCTCCGCAGTACGTGTCCTCTCGCGACGAGTACATCAGCTCCACTTTGATCGTCAGATTATCGAACCGGCAGTCTCTGCGGCCTGAAATCAACACAGTGTTTTCCATATGCTATAAAGAGTGCTTTCGATCTTTCGCTTACTGCGCTCGAGCTGGAACGCCGTGAAGTCGACGATGATTTCCTTGTTCGGGGCGACGAGAGTGTAATTGCAGAACACGCTCGGCGGATAGAGATTTGGATACGCCGGCGATTGGATGGTCTTGGTTTTATCTGTTACTTCGAACACACCGCCGCAATTTTTGTCCCAAATCGCACGGAAACCGTCTCCTTGAACCGCCTCGTTCGAACGGAAAACCACCTTCATACGATTGCTCGTCGAATTAAACGGCGACGGTGTGTTTCTGCCGCACACTTTACCGAGTTCTTTCCACGTTCCGCCCTCGGTTTTGTTCACGTCTTTCACCCAGTCGAGTACCTGAATTTAAAGATTTGTGTAAGGAATTTTTATTCAAGCTCTCTAAAGATTCGGACAGAATAAAATGATGGATTTTCAAGGGCGCAGAAAATAGAGAACATTATAGCAAAGAATCGAAACGTATAGGACAGAAATTTTCATACTAATAGGATAGTAAGCCCGCGGTCCGTTTACCAGCAAGGGAAATACGACGGGGAAACGTAAAGTGTAAACTTCATTAGCATGCAAATTTCCCACGCACCTGCACGTAATCCTTCTCGCATTTCGCGCTGCTTTCTAAATTAAAACGATCGACGAACACCAGGCCGATGTGGTAGCCGCTATCTGCGTTTATTACCCAGGAGCATTCAGCGTTGTTGGGATATTGCGACGGGAACCTAGTGAACGCAATCAAAATATTTCTCCACTCGAACCTAGGAAATCTGACTTTTACTTACTTGGGCGACGAGATCTCTCGACTGTTACCGCGTAAAGAACCACCGCACCCGTTGTTCGACGGCTCCAGAACGAACTCGAAATCGTTCGGCTCTTTGACAGCCATGTACTCGATCCACAATTTATTCGTGGTGCCTGTTATGTTGAACGGCTGCTCGGCCCCGCAGAATCGAGCCATTTCTGGCGCGAACGGTCCTCCGTTTCTAAAATATTACGATAGTAGATTTTTCTTCTTATATTTTATATCTGTTTCGGCTAACCTGATAACGATGTAGTTGCTCTCGCAGCTGGCCAAGTGGAACCTGGTGAAGTGTAACTTTATCATTTCCCCGGTGTCGGGGTAATTGACGTGCCAGGCGCAATTAATGGGGAAGGATATGTTCTTCGGAACGCTCACGACGTGTGTTAAACCTTGCAAAATACCGCCACAGGGCTGCCATTCGTACGTCAGATTGAAGTCCATTTTTTTACCGTAGGTACCGTTCAGGATCTGCAAGAATCATTCTCGTAACGTCAGAAAATTTAGCTCGTATCCTCAACTTACGATCAGCTCGTTGACGGGCATTGGACTCCTCAGGTACGCTGGTTCCGAAAAGTTTCCGCAGATCATCCCAACACCTTGAAAACGTGAAATCATTAAAATTATTATTAATTATCGTTAAAGTTACATTATTAAAATTATAGAATTCTAAAAAGTTTGTAGGTACTCACCAGTCAGCGAGATGTACTGATGATAGTAACAGTGTTTCGTGAAAACGGAGTCACGTAGCCCGCCTATTAGGCCAGTTACCTTCACCGACAACGTTACTCCGGTGTTGTTGGTGTTGTTCACTAAACTCTCGGGTGCTTCTATGCTCCACTGGCAGAAGTAGGACGACTCGTTGAAGGGTGCAGTCTTTGGGGCAGACAGGGTGCCGTTCATCTGTTTTATCTCGTCTCCGCAAGCTGTCGATAAACAGATTCGTATGTTCGAGGTCTATTTACGGTTATACTGACAGTGGAAAGAACGATATATAACCGTCAGTGCATCGACATGCTAACAAGATGTTAGATTAAAGTTTAACACGTTGGCCGTCAAAGTGAGAACTGGTTTGTCAGACATGGATTAAGAAGAGCACTTAATCTTTCAATTTGTAAATATATCAGAAGATCTTTTCATTTACTTTTCCTGTAAATAATTCATTTGCAGCGCCAGTCACGTGTCGGTCAACGTGTTAAGAATCTATTGAGCTTCTTCTGATTTACCACTTTCTACTGTTAACATAATCTTTGAACAAAACTATAATTTATCGAAGGCTTAAGCCGCAAGTGGTATTGTAACCGCCGGAGAGTCATAAAACTTTCATCATAAATTGCACAAATAGCGTACGAGCAGGTATGGAAGCGTAGTAACGCAGTTTGAAACCACGACTTCCAACGGACGATGAGTAACCGATCATCATAGTGTTACTGGAGCTTCTGACTCGTTCTAGGGTCCCGTTTTGTCGCACCGCTTTTATCATCGATTTGAAACGGAAATCGTTGTAGAACTGTAACCCACAAAAGATTGTACTGTAGTAATATAACTATAATATCGAATGATCAATGAATAATACTGACGACAAGAGAATAGCCGATTCTTATGCGATCAGGGAACGCGTTGGTAATGTCCAAATCCAATATATCCACCACCACCTGGTAACCCTTCGGAAGTTTGATCCTCCAATCGCAGTATCTGCAGAATCATAAAATAAATGACGGAAATGTCTAAATTAAAATGGTGATAATTTTGATGTACCTTGAACGTGTCGCGACGTTGGGATATCCATGCGACTTGATGGTGCCTTGCATCGCAGTGAATTCGCCGCCACAAACTGCGACGAACAGTTATTATTTGGTAATTTCGAGATTAGAGTTTAGAATCGTGAGGTGTTACCTTCTTGAGTGGACTCGAACTTCAGACTGAATCCCTTGTAGGTGATGTAATCGAAGTTGTCGCTGTTGAACGTTACCAGAGCCTCGTTAGCGGCTGTTTCGAATGGCTCAGGTATCGTGAGACCACAGTACGTTCCGATCGGGGTAACTGGAAAATGAATTTAGACTTCGTGTAACCGTTTACGTGCAAAGATAGATTGTTTGAAATTACTCGTCTCGTTATCCGGAATTCTCTCGCTGATGATCACGTAGTCGGTATTCTTGCAGGTGCGGAAACCGGATGGAAGATGCATGTCCAAGAACTTGAACTGTATGGTGTGATCAGCCGGTGCGATTATCCACCAGACGCAAGTTTGATTCTTCGGGTAAAAGAATGGATAGTTGGGAGAAGTCACGACGCCTGTGGTTCCTCTGATTATTCCGCCGCATACCTCTGCAGAACCAAAAGATAATAACGAGTGATTCATTTTAAAAACTTTGACAAAGGAACAACAATTTGTATGTTAATATTGTTAAGATAAATCGAGACCTCCAACGCTGAAGACAGCTTCGAAGCCATTCGCCGGTTCGGGAATGTCCGTGTAGTAGTGGACATACATCATATTTCCGGTGCTGGTTATGCTACTCGGCGCCACATCCTTGCAGAATTTTCCGAGGACTTTCGAACTTTCCGTCCCACCGTCCCTTATCTCGACGTACTCCCGCTCGCAGCTGAAATTTCATTTATTCAAATTCGGTAAGAGATGGCGAGCTATTAGAAACTCACTTGGTGGTGGACGCTAGATCGAATCTTTCGACGAAGTGAATGGTTATCCTCTCCCTGTTGGGTGCGATCGCTGTCCAGACACATTCCGAATACGGCGGTGGGATGTTGGGATAATTCGGCGTGCGTATCTCCCAGCTTTTCTGTTTGTTGGTCAATATGAACTCTCCTCCGCAATTCATGCTCACCTCCCTGAAACAAATTTCGAATTTTAATTTAATAGCGATAATAACCGTTCGATCCTCTCAATAACGCGAGTTAACCTATTAAAGTTCAGTATTAGCTGAACAACTTTAAGACTTTAATACCGCAAAGTCTTTATGCTGTACATTCTATAAAGGTTATCGCATTACGAGATTAAAGTGCTCATTACCTGTAGCTTAGTTTAAAGTTCATGTTACGTTTAGTGCCGACCGCCTTCACGTAAAGTCGATTGCCGGTCGTCTGAAGAGGAGCAGGCGTTACTTCGCCGCAATATTTCCCGGCGCCCAGTAAAGGAGAGTGCACATCGGCGCCATTCTTCAGCTGCAACAATAGACAGTTTTGTTACGCAAGATTATTGAGCGATAATTCGACAGAATCACCATTAGGTAGTTGTTGGTGCAGGTCCAGCTAGGTCCTTGTTGTATCGACATCTCCTCGACCTTCACTTCGATCGTTCGTCCAGGTCTCACTTCGACGGTCCACTCGCACGAGAATTGCCAGCTACGCGACGTTCTCACCGAAGTCGTATTTTTCATTTCGATCTCTCCGTTCGGTCCTTGCAACTTGCCACCGCAATCTAACAAGTTGTTATTCGTTTAAAAACAAGAATAACTAGGTCCAATTTACCTAGCGCAATCGATTACCTCGATAGACGTACGCGCTGAAGCCGGTTTTATTCAAATAGCTATCCGATTCGAATTTCACAGTCATTACGTTGCCGGCTACTACCGCGCTCGACGTGGAGTTCGAGAGACACAGTCGTTCCAGCAGTTCGGCGTTATTGGGGGTCGTCAAAGCGTTGCCCGAGTAAACCAACAGATAGTCGGCCATGCAGTTGCTGGACTCTTCCAAATCCATCGCGAGTATCCTCAGGACCAAATGTGTTCCAGGTGGAGAGGTAAACAACCAGCTACATCGGAGATTGGCTTCATAGCCATCCGGCCAACCGGGCGACTTGAAGTCGTAAGTACTGCTGAATTTGCTGTTTAATCCCACCTCCTTGCTGCATTTTGACACTGTACGAACAATGCCAAATTCAGTTTCGAGGCAGACGAGAAACGTACTGTGATTTTGCACCTACGTTCGGTATCCTCGTTCTTGACAAGCACGCTGTCTCTCGGTATCTGGATCCAGTTGAGCGCGAACCAGCTACCGTGACGGAAAATATCGACCGACAGCTCCACGTAGGCGACGTTACTGTTGGTGGTGACTGGCTCTGGAATATCGTGGCCGCAGACTTCCAGTAGAACTGGCGCTTCGTTGTCGTAACCGTCGTATATCTGATGGCCATGCAAATTCGTTATTAACCGAGAAGAGAGGATGAACTTGAAGAGGATGTACAATAGGAGAATATATCTATCCTCAGAACAGACGCGTTCGATAGCCAGTCATTTTGTAAGAGGAATACGAAACTGTACAGCAATTTTGAAATCGAAAACGATAAATACAGTCTGTCCTATTAGATCCGAACTCACCCTAAGATAAGAAAAGCACGATAGGTCGGTGGTCTCTATGAACAGGCTCGTAATCTCAAGTTGAATGATCCAACCAAACTCGACATTGACTCGCCACCAAACGGACTCCCTTTTCCTGTACGGCAACGGGTACAGAGGCGATGTAATTTGTCCCGTGGGACCTGTAAGTTCGCTCCCACCCGTCAGAGCATACTCAGCCACGAAACCCTTTGCCACTTGGTCACCGTCGCTCTTGAACTTGATCCACAATTTGGACAAGGATTGAACCGGCTCGATGCTGGTCCCACAGGATGTGCTTATCAGTTTACCGATCCCGTTGTCCTCTCGGATCTCTAAATAATCGAGATCGCAGTTCTCGCTCTGTTGCAGCTCGAACTCGGAGAAAGTCAGGCTAAGCTTGTTCCCGGGGGAGTTATTTATTATCCATATGCATTCGGCGTGTAATGGATAAGGCTGCGGCCATCCTGGAGAGGCGATTTTTCCTTCGGACGACGTGTATGTGCCACCACACGCTGTAATTGATAGATTTCGCATTCGATAGACTTTATAGTTTAAAAAGATGGACGAAGTTTAGATTTGAAAGTTTTCAAATTTAAAAATCTTGATATCCACGAAGGTACTTCGAAACGAAATTCGTGAGAAGTTACCATTCGTGAAAATGTCCGGAACGTTTGAGAACCTCTGCGGAGTCTAAAAGCGTCGTATATGAAGCTGCAAACGTTTCCGGAAAAAATAACGCGGCCGGAGAGATATGCAACGCGTTTCAAAGTAACTTGTTTCCAATATCAAGGACATCGAGCGAGTTTGTTCGGTAGATACCGCGAATGGCGGACGATAAAAGAGAAAAAGAAGATCTTACGCATCGTTTACCTGAATTTAAGACCGAATAGGTGAGCGCAAAGTGTCCGGGGAAGTCGTAATTCGAGTACAAATGCACAGTGAGCGCGTTTCCTGTACTGGTTATCGGCAACGGTACAGCGTTACTGCACCATTTGCCCAGCGAAGGACCATCCAGTCCCTCTCCCTCGAACACCTCGATGTAATCCCAAGTGCAATCATCTTCGAAGTAGTCGAGGTCGATATCCATGTGCGTGAACGTTAAGGTGACGTGATCAGCTGTTATCAATCATTTGCATCAGGTTAACGATATCGAAGTGTTAATGTATCGAAAATTAAACTGTGGATGTTAGAGTAGACTGTCATATACCTCTGCTAACATCCACAGTGTAATCATAAATATTAAAATAATTCTGGTAGAAAGAAGACGGAATAGGAAATGTAATAAGTACCAAGATCCGCAGCACTTATTATCCACGTGCAGTTAGACAGATCTTCAGATGTGGCGCCGGTGTAGCTTCCTACAGGTCTCAGATATCCTTGATCCTCCACGACAATTCGAGCACCGCAAGCTTTGCTATATTCAGCTTTGAACCCTTTTGCGGATAGCAAACTGTCGGTCCTCATCACTACCAACATCTCATTGCTGGTTGACCTGTAAGAAGGTATTTCTTCGTGCCGACAGTGGGTACCTAATAACGGTGAGTCTCTCGTTGCTCCATCGTATACCTGTCGCATGAACGCCATTTCATAAACATCATTTTCAGTTTCTGCAATCTTTACTCGGATGTTAAGGAATGCACATTACCGCGACGTAATCGTCGGTGCAATTTTTGCTGTCCTCCACGTCGAAGTCCTCGAAGGTGACTCTAACCACGTAATTCTTGTCCACTTGAATCAACCACTCGCAGTTCAGTTTGTGCGGATAATTCTGCGGATAATTGGGGGAGAATATGACCCCCGTGTCGGTGGTGAATTTACCGCCGCAAGTGATTGGTACGCTTCTGTAGCTGGCGTTGAAACCGCGGGCAGCGTACGTCACGTCCGAGTGGAATTTCAAGAACATTTTATTCCCGAAGCTGGTGTACACTAGCGGCTTCTCGGAGTAGCAGATCTGGACCAATTCGGGCGCGGTCTCGTCCTTGCCACCGTAGATGGAGAGCTTGTCGAAGTAACAACCCTTTTGCTTCTCTGTGAAGATCTGAAAGTTCGGACTTCCGATAGAGATACTTCGAAGCAATTCTTGGTTGATTATTATCCCTTGAACGGTATCGTTAATTAGGGGTAATCGTGATCGTTAATTAGGCCCTTCTTCAATCAATTGATCAAGCAACCCTAAATCTCCAAATTACGGTCCCGTTCAAGAGTTAAAAAAAATACCAACAGATACCAACATCGTGAATAGTCAGTTCGATGCTGTGCGAGTGATCGATCTCTATCAGCCACTCGCAATCGACGTCCATGGGGTAGGCGGATGGATAACCAGGTGACGTGAAGGAGTCGAAGGGCCTCGTCAGATGTCCACCGCAGCCGTCGACTAACCACTCCAACCGGAAACCGTTGAAACCCAGGAAAGAGTCGGTTACGAACGTCACGAACACTTGATGCTGAGACGAGTGAATTTTCGGTGGTATACGATCGCTGCCGCAAATCTTGGCCAACTGTGTTTCGGGAGTATCAAACTCGCCCTCCATCACTTCCACGTAATCGTACTGGCACGTGTCGTCCAGGTCGGTTCCTTCCAGGTCGAAATGAGAGAATGTCAGGTTGATTCTGTTCCCGATAGGTGCGTCGATGGTCCAACTGCAGTTCAAATTATCCTCGTACCTTTGCGGGAAGTTTGGCGACTCTATTACGCCGTAGAAGTCGTGGATAGTGACCTGACACACTGTGAACAAAATAGGTAACTGTATTTTCAAATTCCTAAATTCTTAGGAATTGCTATATTTCGAAATTTGTGCAAAGGAAATTCTTGTAGAGTCCTATATTCGGAAATTTCACGTTCTCGTCTCCCTAGTTCGCGGATTGCTACGGTTGTAAGTTCCGGTATTCCGTAAGTTCTCTGTTCATTTCGGTAGGTGACCCAGGAGTAATCAACTCACGTGTTTCGTATTTGAGGTGGAAACCGCGTCCGGAATTGGTGAAGTCGCTGCGGAACCTTATGTTGACTATGTTGGATTTGGTCTCGATGACCTTCGGGTGAGAGTTGCTGCAGTATCTCTGCATGGACCTGTGATCGATGCCCTCAGAAATTTCGATGTAGTCGAATCTGCACTTGTCGTGATGTTCGAGCTGCAGGTCGACTATTATCAATCGTACCACGCTGCCCGCTGCCACCGCTATTCTCCACTTACAATCCGCTTGCTGCGAGTACGGCTGAGGGTAATTCGGGGACATGATATCGCCATTCGCGGCATTCAGATTTCCACCGCAACCTGGAACGTCGAGTAACATCATCGAGAACGTTACGAGAGTCGAGGAGGATCATCCGGTCATTGTGGAAATCGATATCGTTTGCGCAAAGTAACGACGTTGTTTGCTTACCTACGGTCGTGCTGTCCCACTCGATATCGAAGCCGCCGTACGATCTCGATCGATCGGCCACGAATTTCAAGTACACTTGATTGGTTTCGCTTATAATTTCCGTCGGGATGACTTTGCCGCAGAATTTGCCGATCAACGGCGATATTTCGTAGCCGCCGTTCCTGTATCGAGCATGCGATAACGACCGATCATTTACAAAATTTACCTCGTTATACTCGTTTTATGTGCCATTAATTGGAAGTCCTTCTTACACGATAAAAAGGCAAATAAACCTCTTCAAGAATGCTTATATGTGGACTCTTAGTCATCGACGTATATTACATGTGGGAGTGTATTGTATTTTATGTTTGATTAGTTGTAGAATGTTTGTATAGTTTGACAATCGTTGTGAAATTATATGTATGATTGCAAGTGTGAATGACGATTTATGAAAGGAACAGTGTGAAATGCTATGCGGAAGCAGTTGCCAGCGTTTTGAAAAAAGTGTTGTTGTTAGTTCAGTTTAGAAACGGAGGTTGAAGGATCTAGACGTACAAAACGCCGCGAAATACGAATTATAAGATTGTGCGTTTTACGATTTTACTACGTTTAAAAGTTCAATACGTTATCGTGTTCTTGTGCTCTTAAATAAAAGGATAGCTCTAAAAATTCTATTCCTATATACATATTCCTTCAACATTTATTTCTATAATTGCTACTAGCTAACTTTGAAAGTTCATCCTTGAAGAAACTAAAAGGTCTTGATACAGAAACATACCTGGCGGGAAACTAGTAATAGTGAAGTTGAAGTATTGATCGCAACCGTCTACGAACTTCGAACTATCAAACTAATCCGATGCTGATTTTCTGGATAAAATTTTACCTGATTTCCAAGTAGTCGAAGCGACAGTCACTGTGTGGTTCCAGATCGAAATGCTTGATGTTGAGAATAACCCTCTGCTTATTCGGCGCTTCGATTATCCACACGCACTCCTTCTTGTCCGGGTACTTTTTAGGATAATTCGGTGATCTGATCGCGCCGTTTAATTTAATGAAACGACCTCCGCAGACCTTGGACGTGTCGATGAACATGTATATCGCGACAAATCCTTCTCGAGTGATGGAGGAGTCCGAATGGAAAACGACGGTCATCGTGTTCCCTTGCGACATCGTTACAGGTGGTTTCGTCGCACCACAGAATCTGCGTAAAAACATGTGTCTCAGAAAGTCTACTAGTTGGAATTACGAAGATACTTACGTGCCTATCAGCTCCTTGTCAGGTGACAAGTAGTTCTCGTAAACTTTGACGTAGTCGTGTCGGCAACGAATATTCTGTTCCACAGAGAACGTCATCCAAGTGAGCTGCACCGCGTATCCTACCGGTGCTATCAACGTCCAAATGCAATCCTGGTCGTTCTCGTAGTGGTCATTTTTGGTAGGTGTCTGAATCGTTCCGCTGTTCGCGGTATACACCCCTCCGCACTCTGCGAAATTTCCATGTAAATAGTTATGACTAAAATTACAGCCGAAATAAATATTTCGATTCGTAAACTTTCATAAATCAAAGTTAATGGTAACGTACGAAAATTTGTGCGTTTGACGTTGGGTCGGAAGGGTTAATAACCGTGGCTATGAAAATTTCACCCTGGTGGGCGATAACTGCTACGGTTATAAAATTATGAGAGTGCAAAATACAGGGGAAGCTACCTGAACTCTGTAATCTACACTACAAAGGTTATTATTCAAGGGAGAGTATTGATTTTGCTCTCCTTGGAACGTGTTATTAGCAGCCCAAAGGTTAAAATCGTAACTCTCGAAATGGCGTGCATTAACGAATCCCCTAAAATACAACCCTTCGCACACAACTAAAAGCGATAGATCAGATTTAAATTCCTTTAAGCTGTCAATTAACATCCCTCGTACGCTTTCTTTCCGTAAACTAGCAAATACTCACTGCTCGGAATGGTGGTGTAATTGGCCAGAAACCGGCTTCCGTCCAAACAAGTCCAAGAAGTGAATTTCACGAACATGTAATTGTGCGTCGAATAAAATGGACGGTTACTGGCTTTGGGTACGACCAAGTCAAAATTGTCCAAACGCGAAGCGTTTTCATCCATACCATCGTGGATAGACATCGTACATCCTACCCTCAATCCTTGTAGACTCACGTCTAACAGATTCAACGCGATCCTGTTCGTGGGTGGTTGTTCTATCAAGTAATGACACCACTCGGTACCGTTGTACAACTCTGGGTACATCGGCGATTGCAACAGACCAGTTGTCTCGGTGAACACACCGCCGCAGTAAGTAGTGTAAGATAAGGCGAATTCGCCTTTCGGACCCGATGAGGAGGACTTGAAGACAATTAGCAACACGTTCGAGTTTGAATTGATAGTTGGAGGTAAGGTCGAGCCACAGTATCTTCCTATCAGACCAGACTCGCTGGTATCTCCGTCGAATATCTGCGAAAATTTGTGCGAGCGGTCAGACGTTTAGGAGGTGAAACTTCTGCTGGGGATAGTCTTGAACATCGATTCTCATGTTTAGAAGTTTGGTGATGTTCCAAATTTGGTAATGTTCATTTGTGAATAGGTAAGAAGAAGTTAAATAATTTATAGCACGACTCAGAGTAGAAAGGGTACAAACCTCGACGAATTCCGATTGACAACCGGTGGATTCAGACAGGTGGAACTTGGACCAGATTATCTTCACATGGTCGTGAACGGGCAGTTGTATCTTCCATTCGCACTCTACTTCCGTGTACGCGTCCAGAATCGGCGGGTTGCTAATCGTTCCGGTACGAGTGGTGTACACGTTGTTGCACCCGGGTATGCCTGAAGAAACATTTTGGACGCTTTTTAGCTGATAACAATTTAGTTTTGCGCTTTAAACTGTTCCTCTTGTAGAAAATTTAAGTCAGAACTTTTGTTTGAGTCTCCGGTTCTGTTATACGTTCAGCTTTAGTTTTAGTTTTGAATTTTAATCGAATCGATCGATCGGTTTGTTCTTAATTATCAACTCTCTACAGTGTAGAACATTTTAAACACCTTGTAACGTGCTAAACCACCGTGTTTCGAGAAGTTAATTACCTTCGATGGCGGAGTAGTGAATTTGAAAGCCAGCGTCCTGACCAGCGCTGTCTGAGTGGAAGTAGATGACAGCCTCCGAAGCGGGTACCACGAGAGGAGGAGGATGAGTGTGATTGCAATAAATTCCTAGTGTTTCTCTGTGTATAGTGCTTATCTGTGAAAAATTTCGTAAGTCAATGTAAGAAAACGATCGAATTCGTTTAGCGTCGTTACCTGCAGATAATCGTTTCCGCATGTCGGATGTTCCTCGAGCATTAGCTGACCAAAATGAATCTGTATTCTCTTGGATGGTCGAACCCGGATGTTCCAATAGCAATCCCTATTTGGTGGATATCGCCCCGGAGAGCCGGGAGAGCTTATAGTCCCGTAATCTTGCGTAAGTGTGCCACCGCAAATGGGCGGAATGCTGTTCCAGTGAAAAGCGAATCCGTCGTGAGAGATGCTGTTATCCGAATGGAACCAGAAGTACAAAGTGTTGTGGGAAGACACTATGTTCCCGTTGCCATGGGGGAAAGTATTGCCGCAAAATCTGCCGATCATCTGACTGCCGGCATTTCTACCGTCGTGTATCTGCAATTCATCGTTACAATCGTTGCAAATAGGTATTCAATTATCGATGCATTAAAAGACATCATTTCACGATGCACAAATGCAGTGGGCACTATTATGATTCATGACGATCTGACACTTAGTTATGTAACTCATGGTGACATAACTGCAAATTGAGAAACCAGAAGTCAATCGACATGCAATAACTTAATGCACATATGTCAACTACATCAGGAACTACATCAGATTTTGAAAATCGAACCTGCAGGAAATCGAACTTGCAGTCGGTCGATTGTTCCAGGTTGAATTTCGTGAACGTGACGTTCAGGACTTGCGTGTAATTGGTGACCAGCACCCAGGCGCAGCTCAGTCCGTGCTGATAAACATGTCCGCCAACCGGGAACTCCAAGTGGCCTATGGGATTTCGAGATAAACCTCCGCAGGCTTGCCGCGGTGTTTCGCACCTACTGCCAGTGTAGGTGGACGGACAGTCACAAGTGACTACGCCGCTTGAGAACACGCAGACACCGCTGTTCTTGCAAGGGTTCGGATTGCAGGGCTCTACTTGAGCGCTGCATGTCGGACCTGAAACGCAAAGGATACGTAATAATGTATAGAGATGCGGAGATCTGAAAATGGAGAGCTGAGCTGAAGAGATGCTGAGATGAAAAACAATTTACCGGTGAATCCAGGATTGCACACGCAGGTGAAGGATCGACCATCGGCAACGCATCTGCCATGTATACAAGGATTGCTGAGGCAAGCTGTGTGAACGGCTACATCCGTCGATGGTTGACACCCGTTCGGACCAATTCCATCGCCCACCATGCCGCTGGGACAGCGACATAACACGTAAGAGCTCGTGAGTGCAGCGTTTTCGATACACTTGGCCAATGGGTAACAACCGCCGTTGTTGATGGCGCAGCTTCCGACATAAACGCAGGTTATGCCATCGCCGCGGTATCCCGTTGGACACGGACCACACGTCCTCGAACCCTGTATCAGTGTTTCGGTAATACGGGAAGGAAACTCTTTCTGTGTAAAGATGAAACATTACCATCGTATTGATACATTGAACGAAAGGCGACTTGCTGCAGCCACCGTTGTCTGTCGCGCACTCGTCGATGTCCGCACAGTAGTATCCATTTCCGCTGTAACCTCGAGGACAGGAGTCGCAGAAGAAGGTTCCTGGTGCGTTGCGACACGCGACCCAGGGATTTACGGAACATGGTCGATGATTCGATGCGCACTCGTCGACGTCCTTGACGCAGGCTGGATTAGCACCGTCAGCCTCCCAACCCTGTCATGAAAGTTCACATTTTATTATGAATGTAAGTCCAGAAATTAAATATCCGATGCGTACTTGATCACAAATGCAAGTGTAACCGAGCAGAGAACCGGGTTTGCTCACGCAGACGCCATGGCCGCACAGCTCGTCGGAGTTCTGCGTATTGCATATGGAAGTTTTTTTCGTACAGTGAAGACCGTACCATCCGGAGGCGCACTCGCATCTAATGCAACGAAGATTATATTAGCAACGAAAGGATATTGAGAGAGAAATTGAGATACCTGTATGATCCTGGAAGATTTAAACAGGTGGCTCCATTCTGGCAGCCAAGGTCCGTTCCTAGCAGTCGTACGCACTCGTTCACGTCGACCATGCAGTTCGGTCCCTATGATAATCAGCGTTTAATATTGGATAATAATTGCTTCGAAAATTTGAAGACTTACCTCCCAGTTGGAAGGACAATTGCACTGATATCCCTCGTAGAGATCCTGACACGTGCCACCGTTCAAACAAGGATTGCTGGTGCAGTCGTTAACCTTCAGCTTCTGTTCTATCGATTTCACTTTGTCCTCCACTCGACGCACCTAAGAAAATTGCTTTAAACATCTCTGTCCGTTCTGCTCTCAACGTTTCGAAAGAGTACGTACCCGATTCACCAGCATACGAATTTTCATGGTGACACCTGGAGCAGACTGCGATAAATTGAATGATCGTCAGTATCTTCGGAAATAGCTGTTCGTCAGAGCAATCCTTTTTCCGAATGACACTTACCTGATTGGTGGACGTGGTGCCCGTGCTATTTGCTTCGCCGAATCCCTTCAGCGTGGCTATCCTTCTCTCCAAACCATCCGGTCCTTCCACGATCTGCGTCAATCGTTGCAAGTTCGATTCCAGCTCGGCCATATATCCAGTTCTCCATCTCTCGATCAAACGCGTGGCGCTTTGTGCCTGGAAGAAAGACCAATTACGGCGTTGGTCAAGGGGACCTTGTCTTACATCTCCAAGGATCAATTCGGTACCGTAGTCGCGATGTGAAGCAGATTAATTTCGTTCACGTTCACGTAACCGTCCCCGAGGATCTTCAGGGTGATGTTCCTATCCTTCGCCGCGGAAATGATCAGATTTCCATCCCTGGACTCCAGCACGGGTCTGAAACACGTTCAGAATTATGTCCTTTTTCTTCGTAGATTAATCAGCCAAACGGAAATTGCTGTTCCACGGAGTATCGGGTAAAGTGCCCAACCTTTCGTCCATCCATGCTGCACAGAGCCCTAGACAAGTTAACAACAGCCACTGCGATCTCGTAGCCATCGCAACGAAAATATGAAGTCGACGAAGTTTTATAATAGCATCTCCTGCCGGACGCTGCAATTGACTGTCTTCAACGAGATGTTCACCGTCGACTGCATCGGATGTTCGTTACACGGGCGTATCTTCGGTAGACGGTGGGCGTATTTTGAACAACTTATCTATGTCCACCCCTGTATCGATTACATTCATCGTGACACCCGTAACGCGATGTAGGTATCGAGGAAAGAACTTATGGAAAATTCTAGCTTCGGTTGAAGCGTTGTTGTTTGGACAAATGTTGACCTTACGAGATGCGCTTCCGTTCACTGCGATCATAACGCATCGTTTCTACAGCATCGTATAGAAGATTTTAACAGTCGATCACTTATTATTTCGCTTATAATTGAATTTTATAGTAACATATTGTTTCTACAGCATCGTATAAAAGATTTTAACAGTCGATCACTTATTATTTCGCTTATAATTGAATTTTATAGCGATGAAAAATATCGAAAGAATTACAATTCCAGAAATTATTGTAAATTCTATAACAATATAACAGGTAACAGAACCGTGTGACGCAAAACCGCCGATGAATTATTACTCTGTCAACAATGCCGAAACAGCAATAAATTGTAACAAACTTCCGTAATACGTGATTTATGGAAAAATGCAGAAGATTTTGTTATTTCATGCCCTGTTCAATCAGATTGAAACAAAGGGCACCGACCCTTAATACACATCAGAATTTTCCTGTAATATCATAAGTAATCAGCTCGGAGCTGACAGAAAATAAACGAATTTATACAAAAGTCAAACAATCGCTTCCAGTCTCTAATGAAGTAAGTACTACATCGAGAAAACGTTCAGTCACGTCACGTTTTGCTCGTACAACCAAAATGCCTGGAGCATACTTATTGTTAGAGAGTCGAGGAGAGGTCGGTATGAAACCCATGTAAAAGAATTGGTCTGTTGAAAGTATTCAGACATAAAAAAGTTATAAGACATCATGGTCTCTTGTTATAAAATACATATGTTAGATTTATAAAAATTGTTTAAGGGGGGCGTCATTCTCATTTTTTCTGCGCACTCTCCATTGAAGTAAATGGGAAAAAGATGGTCTCACATAAGGTACCTTTTCTGGAGAACCAGAGCAACTACATGTACGCCCGAGGTACCAAATTAAAGTTAAAGAAATGACTGACAATCTGAGTGAAGTGGATTTTTTTTGTAGACCTTCATTTTTTTTTGTAAACACTTCAAACCTGACAACTTACCTCAACGGCCACACTTATGGCCAGTTTTAAAAAAATTGAAGGCCTACAGAAAAAATCCACTTCACTCAGATTATCGGTCATCTTCTTAGCTTTAATTTGGTACCTCGGGCGTACATGTAGTTGCTCTGGTTCTCCAGAAAAGGTACCTTATGTGAGACCATCTTTTTCCCATTTACTTCAATGGAGAGTGCGCAGAAAAAATGAGAATGACGCCCCCTTAAAAGAAGTGTATGGATTGATAACAAGAGAAATATTTTAAGTAAAATTAAATTTCGATAACTTGAACCTAAAATGTCTCCTTTTATAGAATTATCTGAAATGTAAAGTGTGACACATCCATTTATTTCTGCGTTAAGAATCTTATATAGATCATCCAGTTATAAAGGTTCAATTACTAGAATATGCAAAAGAAGCTATAGAAAGTCCGGAACCGAAGATTAATTCAGGTTAAACGCATAATTATGTAAAGGAAAGAATATTGATTCGCCGGACGATTCAAATTCTCGCGCCAGCGTGTCTACTGGGCGTCGCAAGTGCGCAGGTGCCGCCACCTGACGGGTGGTCCGCGAAACGTGCGCGCGTTCAGAGCGTCCGCATAGCCGCCGTTCACGTCGAAGCCGGACAGTATGGCTTTGGCTGCCGGTCGGTTCGCGTTGGTGGTGTTCTACGGTGTTGTTACGGTGTGCTGTCAGTCACGAGTGTGCGTGTCCACTTTTTCTCGAACGGAGAACATCCCGTGAAACGTGGACACGACAGAAAAACTGCAGGGACGATCAGCCGAGGGGCGAGACTGGCAAGCTACACTGGCAGAGATGCGGCGAAATGTGAAAATTGTGTTGCTTCTGTCATGCGCGTGGATGTTCGCCTTTGTTTACTACTACCACACGTCGCGCGATACTAAGGTACGTGCAGTTTATTCACGCTTGTAATTTGTACGTATGTCGATGACGTGATCTTAGCCGCCATGTGACGGCGCAGCCCTTGCGCGCAAAAAAGACAGTGTCGGTTTGTGTCTCGTTTATCGAATTCGTTTAACCTTGAAACCTCGTGTTGTCATTCTCGTTGATGCTTCTCGTATTTTTTATCACGGTTCGACGAACCCTCGGAGAAATTTTAACAATCGAAACGTAAAGAAAATGTACAGTGTTATTGGAACGGAGACGTTTCGAATTCGTCGGGCCGTTAAACGCGTTTGGGTGCATCGGTTATCCGAGAACGGGACGCGGTATAATTTGTCCGGTTACGATATAATAAAAATTCGATGCGCACCCATCCCACGTTCGAAACTGGAACGCTGGGTCACGTGATCGGTTTACACGTCACGTGATTGGTTCACGAGGTAAAGAATTCGAGTTGTCGAAGGCGAAGTGTAGCAAACGGTTAATGCGTGGTGTGTAACGGTGTTTCTGGTCCACGTTATTGTCTTTATTAGCAACCCACGATGCTCGTGATGCCTTTGCAAACAATCTCAATGGCCCGTGCCGGGAACTCGGCGACCGGAACGCGCGTCGTTAGATCCCCTCGTGCAATTTACTACCCGTGAATCAGTTCGATAAGTTTTTCAATGTAGAACTATATTGTAGGCTAATTTATACCGATTTTATCAACACTTCCTGTTGAGCTTTGTCATAGTAGTTCATAATGTAAACAGTACTATGAACTCATTTGTTATTATACGAAATTTAATTCGTGCGTAATTCCTGTATTCGCGTAAAGTAAAATATTGTTCGTAACTATCTTTGGATTACTAGTTTAAAGTATAGCGTTAATTTGATTAACAACCCAAGTACGATAACAAATTTGTCGCCAAACGTGGAGCTTTGATCTGTTTCCTTAACGTCCCCCGAGAAGACGAAAATTAACTTTGCCGGTTTAAATTACTTTTGCTCCCGAGTCGCATTTTAAAGTCGACCGAACAGGTTTTTCATAACTCGCTATCAACTCTCGTTCTTATTGCTTCTCCGCGTAAACACGTTAAACACGCGAGGTAACGCGGCGTAAAAGTACGCGCGAGTCGAAGAAAACAGGGTGGAACTGATCCTCAATGTCACTCGGGCGTACCCGTTACGGATATTTTGTTCCGCGATGAATAAAACTCGTGCTTCATGATCCGACTCGTCTCGCGAGTCATTAAGCGAGATACTCGAACAAGAAATCTAGCAAATTATCGCTCGTCTCGTACTTTTAATAAATTCATCCGTTTAATCGTCAGACAGTGAATTTACTCGATTCTCTACAATAACTTTCGCAAGTTGATTCGCGTATTATTATTATGAAAATAGGATTAGCAAGAACAAAGATCAGTTTAATATTTGTTCAATGATGCCAGTCGAGGCTGAAAAGATTGACGGACGTATTTACGTGAATGGAGCTAAGCGTGGGCACGCGCTGCTCGTAGCAGCGTGTGCAGCTTCAAAGCAACTGGTGAATAAACCATTGAAATCCAGCGTGAACTTATTTTTGACGCGGTACGTGCTACGTGGGGCCGTTTTGCGATTTCTTTACGATGGTTGTATAGTGAACCACGGTACTCTTTAATTCTTCGGAAGGTTGAATGTAATTCTGACAAGATACGTAAATTTTGACTTCGTAGATTATGGTGAACAACGCTTTAAATTATGTGTCAAAGTGCGACGCAGGGAATTGTTACGCGTTGAAATTATCAACTGCAAAAGTTTAGCGTGATGAAGTACAGCTTGTTAAAATCAAGTATAGCTTGTCAAAATGTGCAGAAATATAGCGCGTTAAAAATACTATACATTCAAATGACAGCGCGGCAACATTACAAGGTGTCGAAACTACAGCGCGTCAAAATGACAGCGCATCAAATTATTACGCGTAGATATTACAGCGTGTCGGAATTACAGCGCGCCAATATTACTACGCGTCGAGATTACAGCGCAACAAAATTACTACGCGTAGAGATTACAGCGCGCTGAAATTAATACGCGTCGAAATTATGGCGCGTTGAGATTACAGCGCGTTAAAATTACTACGCGTCAAAATTACAGCGCGCCGAAATTAGTACGCGCTGAGATTACAGCGCGCCAAAATTACTACGCGTTGAGATTACAGCGCGCTAAAATTACTACGCGTCGAAATTTCTACGCGTTGAAATTACAGCGCGCCAAAATTACTACGCGTTGAGATTACAACGCTATCAAATTACTATGCGTCGAAATTACAGCGCGCTAAAATTACTACGCGTCGAAATTATAGCGCGTTAAAATTACTACGCGTCGAAATTACAGCGCGCTAAAATTACTACGCGTCGAAATTACAGCGCGTAGAGATTGCAGCGCGCCAAAATTACTGCGCGTCGAAATTACAGCGCACCGAAGTTACTAAGCGCTGAAGTTACAGCGCGCCAAAATTACTACGCGTCGAGATTACAGCGCGTCAAAATTACTACGCGTCGAAATTACAGCGCGCCAAAATTACTACGCATCGAAATTACAGCGCGCCAAAATTTTTACGCGTTGAGATTACAGCGCGTTAAATTTACTACGCGACGAGATCGCAGCGCGCTAAAATTACTACGCGTCGAAATTACTACGTGTTGAGATTACAGCGCGTCAAAATTACTACGCGTTGAGATTACAGCGCGCCAAAATTAGTACGCGTCGAAATTATAGCGCGCCAAAATTACTAAACGTTGAGGTTACAGCGCGCTAAAATTACTACGCGTCGAAATTACAGCTTGCAGTAATTTCGAAGCGCTGAGATTACAACGCGGCAAAATGACTAAGTCTTAAAATTACAGCACGCCAAAATTATTACGCGTCGGAATTACAGCGCGTCAACATTACTACATGCTGTTATTACAGCACATCGAAATTACAGCGCATTAAAATTACTACACATCAAGTTTACAGTGCCCCAAAATTACTACTTGTAATCGCAGCGCATAGAAATAATTTCATATCATAATACAGCGCATCAAAGTCCCACGCTTAAGATTTAACGCTACCAACGGAAGTAACATAACAGCACGTCCGTTACACGTTGAATAGCAAAGTGAAAGCCATTCGAGTGGTAAGAGTTTCATGAGAGCTCTAAATTAGAGTGACCGTTATCGGGAACCGTCTTTCGATTCGCGAGTCATGAGAAACCGACGAGCGTTGTTTGTTTTCGTAATAACGAGCGTCGTTAGCGAATACGCGTAACGAAGATAATTTGTTCTCTCGTCGAACGATCGTCGCTTTTAAGTTTCTCTCGAACGCAACGATGCCTACAACGGAACGCAATTTGCGACAAGCTCCGAACAGGTTCTTTTATTATTCGACACCCCGGAAGAGAGACTGTAATTCGACATTTTCGCGTTCGGTTTGCTTTTTAATTTTAATTGGAACCGAAATAACGCAATCGTATATTGGGACTTTAATTGAAATGTTTAAATCAAAATTGTTGGAAGTTTCGAGTCGATGCAAAATGTCAAAGTTGTCGATAACATTCGTTGGTGATATTGTATCGTTAACGAACTTAAAATAGAATCTTCGAGTTTAGATCAATACCCTTCCGGTTGTTACAGATAACAAGAATTTAATTCAGTTTAATCGATAAGGATCCGTTTCCGAGGGACATCAAATATACACCGCTTTTATTTTTAACGATTTCTATTTGCGGTGGTTGAAAGATTTCCTACTTCCTGCCATTAACGATCCTGCTTTACAATTATTTATCATTGTGCTACTTATTCACCTTTTCTTCTACTTGTAATGTCAGAGTGTAATAAAACGAGGTCCGCTTTGATGGACCGTTTAAAAACTCCGAAATCGACGGAACACGATATCCTTTTTTTCTATCGTGCTCGAAATCGGGGGTGAATCCGCGTTTCGAGAGGAGAACGATTCTTCTCGTCGAATCGCGATTTTCCATGGTCGCTGGGGCGGTGTTAATCGCTGACGCTCTAATGGAGCGGACTAATCGTCCGATCCTGCAGGAAACGATTCGCCCATTAAATTCGAAAGCCACGATCGAAGCGTTTCTGTGCGTCGTTGCATGATCGAGCATTCGGGACAGGGGACATCCAGTTGTGAATTCGAAAAAAGTTTCATTATCCCGATTCTATGGAATCGTTCTTTCTACAAATAGGACGCCCAAAGAATGGGTCGTAGACCAACAATAAATCTTCTAATTGCATGCAGCTGCTCTCAGAGCTCGGTGATGGGTAGATATTTGGAATTTTCTGAGCATTTAATGCTTGTTTTCAAATTTTTTTTAGAGACTTTGAAAGTTCAGATGTTTAGATGTTTAGGGTGTTGTTCATCAATTTTTGTTTTGTTAATTAGAAGATATATTCTCAATTTTTGAAATTGAATTTTAGAATCTTTATATCTTCACATTTTGGAAGTGCTAGATTCAAATGTGCAAACTGCTAGGTCTGTAAGTTCTCAAATCTGGATAAATTTTGTGGGATGTTTGATTGATTTCTTAGATGTTCACATTTCTAAATTACTAGGTTGCCTGATCCACAGGCTCTGATTTTAAGGTCCTCAAACTTTTAGGTCCCCAAGTACTCAAACTTCTGGATCTTCGAGACCTTAAATCCCTAAATTCGCAAATTTCTAAGAGTACAAATCTCCAGATCCCCAAATCCCTAATTTCCCAAGTACCAAGAGTTCAAGTCTCCAAATTACTAAATTCCTAATTTCCAAAACTTCTAGGAGTCCACATCTCCAAATCCCCAAATTTAAAAACTCCTAAACTTTTAAGAATCCAAATCTCCTAATCTTCAAATTTCTAAGAGTCCAAATGTCCAAATCCCTAAACTCCTAAGAGTCCAAATCTCCAAATCCCCAAACTCCTAAGAGTCCAAATCTCCAAATGCTCAAACTTCTAAGAGTCCAAATCTCCAAATGCCCCAATTCCTAAGAGTCCAAATCTCCAAATCCCCAAATTC